AAGTGCTCCAACTTTAGAGCTAAACATTAGCTCATAATGAGCTACAACTCCACATGATAATAATGAGCTTGCACCACTAAAATTTCAACAACTAAGCTCAAAACCGAAATCAGCCAAGGCTCCATAGAATTGTGTTGACCCCCCCTTTTGCCTACATCAAAAATGATTCATGTAGCCGACCCCACGTAGTGGGATGAAGGCTTGATGATGTTGTTGTTGTTGATAGAAAATTATTTTGAAATTTAGTCTTTCACTTTATTTTTTTTATTAATGGCTACGTGGTGTGTTTAAATTGGAAATTTTATTCCATTACTTCTTTAGCTGGTTCTTGGGATTCGAGTCTTGCCACAATTGGACATGATATGACCTGTGCTATTTCGGTTCATATCAGGTTGGATTGTGACAAAGAGATGTGAGGCCCATTGATCAAACGACTAGCCAGTTGTTCACTAAGAACCCAAGCTAGTTTCTGTTGGGGAGACCAAGATCTCATGAAAAACAAGATTGGAGCCCTGTCACTGACCCTACAAATTTTTTAACACAATTCAATTGATTTTTTTAGTAATAAGATAGCAATTTGGCTACCTCCCAACAAGCATTCGATTTAACACCCTCAGCCCGATGTGGCTCATCTCCCATTATATCTTGCCTAGTGTCATGTTGTCAGCTCGTCCCTCCCTAGAGACTAAATTGCTCACAAAAGCACCTCCCCTTTCAGAATATCATCAAGTTGTCATGTAGTCAATTCAACACTCCAAGCGGTTGCCCTTATCCATGTTCATGCAATAGAAGAACTATGACTACTAGAAAATTACTTTTTCTTTCGGCACTCACAATTGCAGCAATCTCGTATGAATGTCTACAAAGCCCCTTCTCGTTGAGAGGAATGATCTACCCAATATGAGCTGATACGTAGGATCTCCGTCATCTACATCCAAAATGATGAAATCTGCCAAGAATATAAACTTGACAAACTTAACAAGCATGCCTTTCACCATACTTTTGAATATTTGACTGCGTTGTCTGCCAATTGCAATGGAACTGTGGTAAGCTTCACTATACCTAGACCCATTTTTTTCAATTAACCACAGCGTTTAACTTATGCTTGCGCCTAAATCACAAAACAAGTGAAATTTTTCACTTCTAATTACGCAAGGAATCGTGAAACATCACGGATCCTTCCATTTCAAATAAACAAAAGCAGCGGTCAAAACATATGGACAAGACAGCGAAGTTGATAGAAAGAAGCAAATAAGGAAGCCATTCAGATGGGTGTGTCGATGACAACAGTCACAAAGCTTAAGTGCAATGATCAACTCTGCAAGAAATTTAGGCACATGAGCAAATGACAACAATAAAATATGATGACGAAGGCTTTGATTCAAACAAGGGAAGGAACACTACCAAGCAAGGAACTAGAAGATAGAAACACAAGAGGCAATGAGTGGAAATGATTGAATCGAGCATGTGGTTTACACTAACTAATAGAATCAAGCCCATTTCAAATAACTTGAACTTTGAACCTTCAATTTTAGATTTAAAGAATTAATCGAAATCCTGCCCATTAATGACTGGCAGCATTCACACGCCCCTCATAGATTTGTCCATATATATATATATATATATATATATATATATTTCCGCTTACAGTTGCCATGATCAGAAGATTAGACCCTAACAAAGCATGTGTTCGTTTTAGACTAAGTTCTGGGCAAGAGCAGCTCAAGAATAGTAATAGTCCATCTATATGTTCAAGCATATATTCAACATATTTTACACTCGAACTTCATTTAATAAGTTATATTTTACTTAACTCTTCCAAATTTCTTTATCCTGTATCTATCCTCACATTCTTATGTATGTTGCCTTCTACTCTTATTCGTTCTTTCTGCACCGTTAGGCGATTAGCCCTATAATTAGTTGCAATTGTTTCCGTGTAATTGCAATGAATTCTCATCACAAGTATTCCTTCAAATTTCACAAGTTTTCCGGTGGGATTATGGAGGCAAGTAGCCTAAACTATTATTAAACTGTCAAATTAATTCAATGAAATTTCTTAGCAACAGATTCCTGGGGTTGAAAGTGAAAGGAAAGTATTCCACAACAGATTCCTCTGAACAACAATACACACTTGAAAAGTCTATAAAAGATGAACTGCTCCAAACATTCTGTTGCTTAACAAAACTATCAATCACTTTGGCACATAAAGTGAATGAATAATATAAACACAGCATCTAAAGCATCAACTTGACCTTCAAAATATTAGGAATGCGCTGAACAAAAGTAGTAACTTATTACAAAGAACTACTTGTGGTGGAATTACATTTAACAAGTCAGTAAGGCGAAAAAGGAAAAACAAAAATGAATAAAGTTTGAATGATAATAAAATTTCCCCAGAAAGCTACACCTCCATGTGATGTACAGAAAACAATTCTAACATACATCAATGTTTATTACAGAGTTCTGAACTCAAAGGAAAGCCAAAATTGAAGGGTCATCCAACATAGCAGTCGGATTAGGTAATTACAACATGTTACTATCACAATAAAACGTGTTGACAACCAGTACAAGTTCACTAAAATTTGAAGAATACAATATACCAAAAATAACCAAAGTTGCAAAGGGCCCCAGAACAATGTAAAATAATATTTTGAGTAAACAAATTGGACTTAGGAGGAAGATCTATTTACAGCTCAGAGACTGTCATTGGAAAAAGTGCCTCACCTCATTATAGATCTCAAGATATGAAACACGAAGAAGAAATTCCTTGCCGGGCGTCTAGAATATCATATAAACAGAAGTTATTCGCAGGCATCTAATCGGATTAGATAAAGAAATTTTCATTTCATGAAGATTTGCATTGATTACCTCTTGAATGATGCTGAATACATCCTTCACAGCTAATGGTATGATTCCAGGAGACTTTTGCTCTCCCTAGAAGAAAAAAGAGAGTTTGCTTAAGCTAAGCCGGTTAAAAAAGGAAGCAATTTAAATATCTGAAACAGATGGTGAAATTAGCCCTATCAAAATAAGTAAATGAAGCCAAATGATGCACAGCGGCATAGGGAGAAAAAAGAATCAGGTATTAAAAGGGAGATGGGGAGAGAGAGACCGAGAGAGGAAGAGAGAAAATAAAATAACATCAATTTCTAATTCATCGTCAATAGTTTCAATTAGGAGCAAATGAATACCACATTTGTAGAGATAAGGTTTACAATATAAGATCAACTAAAATTAAATTCATATAAAAATATAAAATCCTATCTAAACTTAAATTTTAAACCAAATATCATCCAAAAAGATAATTAATGCGAAGTTTAAATTAAAATAATCTTAAAATCAGAATAAACTGAAACAAACAATCAATCCATCAATTTCCATAAGCTAGAAAAAACTCTTCTCCTAAAGAATTGCATGGAATGCCTTTGCTAAGCAATCGGATAACCATGGTAGAGTGGGTGGAAAAAATGTTTTATGAATATTCATCATATCTTCAACATATGCACGTTGAACATAGAAATTAGCATGTGGATACTTTGGATACTGACTTATCAATGAATAAAAAATCTTCCTCAAAACAACCCCAAAGAATATTGGTCACTTGACAATGGTAATTAATGGTAACATGAGTTCAACCCTATAGGAATGTATAAAATAGCATTTTTCTCTCCATCTATTAAGGTTGGGGAGTTACAACAAGGACTGGAAACTACACAAACTCAGCTGCAATGAGATTTTATCCTAATTGTGAGCTTGATGATTCATTTTAATATGAGCATAATTGTGACCTTGATGATTCTATATTTGAAGATGAACTTGAATGAGAGACTGGAGTAGCGGATGGTTCTGTCTCAAGGGAATTTTTCTTTTTTAGGATTTTAAACATTTTTTTTTAATTTAACATTCTGATTATTGCATATAGATAATTAGCATGTATTATATTAAAGACAAATTAAAGAATAAAAATTTAATTGCACTTAATTTTAAAAGCATAATCTGTCCTTCATAGTATGGGGCTATTTCGAACTTCTTAGATGTCGACCTCACATTCCAAAATTTAAATAACAACAGCCTGCCTTATCTTGCATTTATATGACATTGGATATTATGGCTTTAAAGGAGATTAAATAGAGTTAAGCTAGCAATCCTATCCAAGTAGTAGTATAAGTCTAGAAGAGTCGGGCTTTCTTAAACCGACTCAATTAGAGGTATAAATGAGTCGAGTTGAGTTTTGGAACCATCAAGCTTAGCTCGTCAGAAAGAGAGCGAGCTCAAACTCGAGCTCAAAAGGCGAGCTAGAGCTCGAGCTCAACCCACTGTAAACGAGCTCAAGCCGACTCGCAAGCCTAGGCAGTCGTCCGCGAAACCTTCAACCAACAAAACTTCGCACCTCCGTTCACGAACACGCCCGAAGAGCTTGCGAGTCGAGCTGTGTGTTATTCAAACTCGAGCTAGATAAGTTGTCGAGCTCTAAATCATGTTAGAGCTTAACTCACGAACTCGATAAGCTTGACTCATTGAGCCTATTAATGAATCAAACCCGAGCCGGCTCGCGAGTCAGCTTGACTTGGTTACAACCCTAGTTTTAATACATTTCATTAGATTAGGTTTGAGTCACAATCCATAGTCGCTCACCTTAGATCGCAGTTCTAAGATGTATTTCTAAATCATAAGTCATCACCTTCTAGTCATTGTCCTGATCTAGCAATTGGGAACATAAGTCTAAACTTTCTAATAAAATGTCAATTCAAATAAAAATAAATCTCATTATAAAACATTAACCCCAACCACCAGATAGACTGAAGCACTTCTAAGTTTCTCAGAATCCATGGCTCCCTACTCTTCATCCTATGACATCCAAAAAGAATTGCTCAACCTTGAACCAATCTCGTTTGATAATTTCAAAACTTCTCAACCATTGCCTTAAATTTTGAAATCCTAAAAATATTAACCACTTCTTTAATCGAGAGTGTTATCAAGGGACTTAGCTCTTTTGGAGTGTAATTAACCATAAGAATTTGTCTTTACGAGAAAATTATAACTTAAAGGTGTCAAAAAGGGTCAATGGGTCGGGTTCGGGTCCAACCCATCCTGCAAGGTAGAACTGCCTTATATAATTCTTGTCTCATGTCTTTCCAATCGGAAGTAGGGTATTCGCCACGAGACTCTTTATGACCTTTCAACCTCATCCAAAATTGACGAGCACTATCGTTCCGGCGAGACTTAGCAATGCTGATCTGGTGGAACTTAAAATACACGTGATTCAAAATAGTCCTCTAATTATCTAACCCATTCCCTAAAGTAGTAAGGGTCCGAGAAACCATCAAAGGTGGGTAGACGGTAATGTGATTCTAAGTGAGGTTGGTGTGGCTTAAGGTCATGTCTAGGCTAACATGCGGAGTGGGGCACCTTCCGACTAGCATGATCGACCGAATGGGGCACGTACCTAGAGTGGGGAGAGTCAGCATGTTTCTCCTTCATGGTTTTAGTTATATAGCCCACTAGATTATCCAACTTCTTTTGAAGTCCTATCGGGTCCATTGGGAAGCGCTAAGTGATACCTAAAGAAGATTGGGTATTTGGGTGTAAGGGACAACACTCTACAAGAAGAAAACATAATTATGACTCGCTATAAGGTGCAGAAAATTACTGTACAGCAAGCTACAAGAGAGACTTAAGTGATCTAGACAATTAGGATGGTTGTTGTGTTGAGGACAGCACCTAAACACTTAATCAGACTCACCTAAAGGTCACTAGATGGTGCAGGAATGGTTTGGACAGCAAGATACAATGGTGGTTTAAGTATCCTAGGCACTTAGGAAAATTGTAGGGTTGAAGACAACACTAAGACACTTAAGAACTAACCTAAAACTCACTAAATGAATGCAGGAAATATGTGGACAGCAAGCATAACAGTGAATTAAAATATTTTAAATGATGCTATGCATGCAATAATAAAGATTATAGTTAGACAAATCCCTAGGATGACTTCTAGCACATGTTATGCATGCCTACCATGCTCTGATACCAAGATGATGTATAACAAACATGTGAAGATGAGTTGCTTAAGGAAATTTGCACGCTTAATATTTAGAGACCACAATTATTATATCTTTATAGAGACTTTAAACGACGAGATAAAACACAAAGAGTGATAAAGCATAAGCTTAGGCTAAATCACATGTATAAGAGTTAAGAGCATGGAACAATCAATTAACCTATCATTGCATACGTGAAAGGTTTCACCAAGAAATCCCTAGACTAACAATGAGATTAATACTATGAAGGATCCTCACAGAACTCTATAATTTACTAGGCTTTAGCGGAGGAATAACACAATCTCGGTGAATCAATTAATTCCACAATTGAAAGTAACTAGAAAAATAAAAGAGTGAGGGAAAGAGTTCACCGAATCCTGGTTTGGGGCTTTGGGGGCAGCAACTAGAAGGTCTTTCCAGTCAGGACAATCGCCTCCTTTGGTTGAATTTCATCTGAACAGCAACCCGGATCCTGTTCGGAGAATTGGGGCAGTAGCTGGAGGTCTTGGGAATAGCATAACTGTTATTTTTGTTGCCGAAATTCTTCTGGACAGCAGCTTCCTATGTTTTGAGTTTCATGGCAGCACTTAGAACTTGTCCAGAATTCTGGACAGCACGTTGGAGAGGAGAAATTCAGGGTTTGCCACTTTCTGGATGCACAAAAGCTGGGGGAATGTGATGGGGAGTTTTGTGGACAGCTATGCGAGTAATGTTAGAATTTAATTACCTGCTTAGGTGGCACATGTAAATGTGTAATTAAATTCCCAATTCAAATAGGAGAGAGGCGGTGAGGGGAGAGTGGGGCGGTTTGGATGGAGGATTGGTTAGGTTAGAGAGGGGGCGGGAAAGTTATAACCAAATCTGAAATTAATTTCAGATTCTAAGAAGATTTGGAGGGACTTAATTTAAAATTTGAATTCAAATTAAAGTGTGATTAGGAGCCTTGATAGGAAGCAATATGGAAAGCCCATTAATGAGGGAGGCCGGCGGCATTATGAGAGGGAGGCGGATGTGGGGATAATTAGAATAGCTTCCTATTTGGTCTTCCTAATTTAGGAAGAGAATAAATCACTCCAATCTAATTTAAAATTAAATTGGGATGAGATTCAAGACTAATATAACTTTCTAATTTATGAAATTATTTGAATTTCAAATGTTGAGATTAATTTCCCAAATCATTTAGGCTATTTAGGTCAAGGAGAGGGGAAGCATGTGGCCGGAGGTGGAGCTTGGGGGGTTTAGTAAGGAATTGATGGTGGAGCCAAGATGGGGGAGTTGGGCACGGGTGGTGGGGGAGAGAAGGATAAGGGAGGCCGACGGGTCTTGAGGTGGTGGTCGGGTAGGGGAAAATGAGGGGGTGGTGGAAGAAGGAGCAATCCGGCGGCGAGGAAGAGAGGGAGAAGGTCGGAGGAGATGATAGGAACAAAAAAATAAAGCCACGAACCTCAGACCCTTCCAAAGATTGACGGGTATTGCGATTGTCCACACCTTGGGTATTCCTTCTTCTCTCAAGCACTCAACATTGAGGGAGACAAAGAAAACTCAGAATTTTATTAATCAATGATCATCCCAAAATACAAGAGAACTTGATGTAGACAAAGGGGGGGTCAACTCATGTCCAAAATAATATGAATTTTGGCTTCCCTTGAGTCTACTAGCTCAATCAAAATTGAGCTAAAATTTTAGCTCATTTATGAGCTAGTCTTTAGTTCATTTATTGAACTAAGGGTTAGCTCATTATTAGCTAACATTTTAGTTCATTTATTATCTTACTTTTTATTAAATGTTATTTAGAGTTTTAAAGTCTTCTTTTATGATATCTCTTGGGGTTCCAAAAAGGGCTTTTGGAATCCCAAGATAGGTGTTTGGTATTCCCATGCATGACTCCTTGGTTTC